CACAAGATGTTCAACTTTCTTCTGCAACACCACAGCTCAAAAGCCTCAATTCTTCTTCTGTCATCCTAATTCATTATCCAGCTTTCAGATGCATAACAAGTGCTTGAAAAGACCATAGTTTGAATTAGACACACCTTAGTCCTCAAACTGACATCATTACTCCTCCATAATCTGAGGAGGCCCCTAAATGCAGACTTTATCAATGCAATAAATCTCCTGATTTTCTGACTGCTGATGCTATCAGTGTTAGTTGTGGATCCAAGTAAGATGAAATTGTTGACAGTTTTGATCTTTTCTCCATCTATCATGGTGTAAGCATACTTAGAAAACCATAAATATTCAGTGATAAAATTATTGGACATATCGAGCAATTCAGTAAAGTAGTAATTTACAAGGTCAACATAAAAAATCAGTAGAATTTTTCTAGCCATTACCTTGGTCCTCCCTTGGGTCTCGAGTTATCTTAATTACAGACACACGTTCTTGTAAATCATCAACAGATGGGACTAGCATTAAGAAAGCTCTTCCCACACTGAGAAACAAGACTTGAGGAAAATGGATCAAGACTCTGGTGAAAGTGAGATCAGAGTAAACCCTGCTGGTGAGATGCTGGAGAAACTGTGGCATTGTTGTGAGGATCCCGTGGCAAGGTATAAGCAGAGTAGCCCAGAGATAAAGGCTAAATTTAAAGGCTTTGTGATTCTTGCCAGATTATTGAAGAAAAAGCTGACTGCTGAACTGAATTTAGAGCCTGGACTAATTGAGGAATTGTGCTAAAATTGGGCTAAAACCTGGATTTGCACTGGATATTCTTTGCCTCCCCTAATCTCAAGTTTATTTCCCTAACAAACTTCAACTCAATCTCAGTAACAAAACTGAGTAAGTCTGAGTCACCAATGAATGTCACACCTAATAATTGGTGAAAATATGTGCAGAAGCATGGGATGGGGGTATGCCTAATCTAGCAGCTATCTGTTTATTACTGATGGAGACAGTTAACCTTTGTGAGTGGGACGAAGTTGGGTCTAGCCACAGCTGCCCTCATTTCCCATATGTCCCTTTCATAATTCAGAAGCAACCCAAATATTCATCAACAAAAGAATTGATAGAAAAACATGATATAGTCACACAATGGAATATTATGCAGCACTGAAAAATAATGAACTTGTAAAACATTATGCAGTATGAGTGAGCCTGGAGGACATTATGATAACTGAAATACTTCAGTCACAAAAGGACAAATACGGAATCATTCTTGGTATAAAATAAGACTGACATGGGGAGATGTAGAGGGGAAATATGAAAAGAGTGGATAGATAATGAAAACTGCATTGGAACAGATATGGGAAAGAACTGTCTGAAAGGACAATGTGATTAGTCATTTTATGTATCACAACAATATGGAGCTAGAGATGCATTGTAAAAAAATAAAAAAAATGCATTGCAAAGTGGGCTGAGGGAAGGAGGAGGAAGAGGAAGGAAAGAAAATGTACAACAATAAATAAATGAATGTAAACCCAACCTTTCTGTTAAACTTTTGCTAATATCACAATTTAAAAAAAAATAACCATTATAAAATTTTGTTTGTGTTGAATTGGAATTGACCCATCACTGACCCTCTAGTGGGTTTACAGAGGGTTCACACAGGAAATTGTGCATACTTTTCCTGAGGAGCAACTAACTGGATTCAAACCATTTTCCTTGGAGATTGCAATGCAGATTCTTCCATAGAGGATATGCAATTCTTCATTTGTGTCAACAGATGGCACAATTTACACATAACCATACATTTTACTTTAGTAAATAATACCCGTTTTTGTGTACCATCAATTAGGAACCAACCCATAGCTGCCCCTTAGTTGGCTTTTTAGTTAACTGCACAGGAGGCAATTTTCCATCCTTCTTTTATAATAATACTCTAGTTTAGTATTATTAATATGTTTTACTATATTCTCACAATTGCTGGCTAAGATAACTTTTTTTGTTTCATTAAATATTTTATTGTGCTGTTGTTGTTGAATCCTATAAAGTAGGAACCGACCCATAGCTGACATTTTAATCACTTTTCAGAGGCAGATAATCACAGTGGAAGAGATTGCCATCTTTCTCCCAAGGAGTAGCTCGCTGGTAGATTTGAACAGTGTGCTTTTGGGATTGCAGTGCAATTTCTTACCACTAGGCCACCAGAGCTCCCTACTAAACACTCTATTATGATTTTGTTGTTGTTAGGAGTCGTTGAGTCATAGGCAACTATGAATGAAAGTTCATAGTGACGCTATGAATGAAAGACCTGAACATTTTGTATAACTTACATCATTTCTCCAGGTTCATAGGATTTCCTAAGGCAGGCTATTTCAGAAGTGATGCCACTCTTGCTTCCAAGCTTATTTTCATCAGAGAGCTCCACTAAACACAGTAAACTATGGGTAACCATTATTGCAGTTGACACATCAGTGTCACAGTGTTCAGCAACATAGCAACCATGAGTTACCTCTGTACAGCACATGGACAGACCAGAGCCATACAACGTAGAAGAATGACCAAAAATAAAAACAGGCCCTCAGGCCACAGGCCTTTGAGTCCTACCGAATTTAAGAATCAGAGCATGGTTCAAACTCCATGAGCTCCATCATTCCAAATTCCTCCATAAATATACATTCTCATTGGCTCTCATAACCCGGAAACCTCCCATTTGGGAGCATTCCACTGTTTCTTCAATCGCCTCCTATTCTGATGCCACACGTTTCTTCAGAGAGTCTAACCTCTTGAATGATTTGTTCAGCATATACACATGAGGGAAAGATACATGTATAAACAGAAGATGAACAAAGGCCTGAAGCCTTTCTATACTATCGTCATTTCTCCCAGTTTATAGACTTTCCAGAGGAATGTATTTTAGAAAGTGAATACCAGTTCTGCTTCCAAACCTGAATCAATCTGGGAGTTCCAACACACACTGCTCATGATGGGTAGCCAATTGTGGAATTTGACACACCTATGGCCCAGTTGTCCATCATCACAGCAACTTTATGTTATTTCGGTAGAGCATATAGACAGACCTTTATTGTGCCACTTGAAAAATTGTTCATCCAAAATCAATTATCCTTTGGCCCAAGGACCACAGGCCTGAGAGCCCTGAGCATTCCATATGTGTGCCTCCTCAAGATGTGAGAGGCCATCCTAAGATCCAGCTTAAACTGATTCACAACACACTAGCCCTCAGCCTGCAGTCATGGCCAAATATTTCAGAATTTTAAAATTCCTGCATGCCCAAATGCTGGCAGACTCTGGGCCAGAGACTCCCCAATTCATCTGGCAAGTCCCATCTGCTGACACTCACTTAGGACCAAAAAAAGACCATAAGAGCCCTGAACGTTCCATACATGTCCCTCTTCAAGATGCAAGAAGCTTTTCTAAGATGGTTTAAGTAATTATTTCTTCCAAAATGATAATATTTTCCCAATGTAATTCCTCTTTTGTTTTCTTGGCTGCTGGTACCAAGAGTCAGGAAATCAAAAGATAAACTGCATTGGGAAAGTCTATTGTCAGGGAAATATCCAGAGTACTGAAGAGCAATGATGTTAGTCTGTAGACTAAGGTGCACCGAAACCAGGCCATGGTCTTTGCAATTACTTGTTATGCTTCAGAGACATGGACAATTACTAAGGAGGACAGAAGAAGATTTGATGCCTTTGAGTTGTGGTACTGGAGAATAGTCTTGTGCACACTGTACACTGCCAAGAAAATGAACAGATCTGTCTTAGAGAGGGCGAAACCAAGTTTCTCCTTGAAGGTTAGGATTTTGAAGCTGTGTCTCACATACTTCGGGCATGTGGACAGGAGAGACCAGTCCTTGGAGAAGGATATCATGCACAGAAGGGTGGAGGGACATCACAGGAGGGAAGGACCCCAGATGAGATGGAATGATACAGTAACTAGGGCAATGCGGGTTGGTGTTTTAGAATTAGTGAGACTGGCTCAGAACAGGTCAGGGTTCAGAGCTGCTGTAGACTGGGTTGCAATGGGTCACAGGTGACTTGATGGCACATAACAACAACAACAACAACAGAGAGCATTTTACTGAGTGAGATGCCGGAGTCACTTAAAGACAAATATTGCATAAAGCCACTAATGTGACAATAATAAGATAACTGAGTTGTTGTTAAATATCATCAAGTCTAGTATGACTCATAGCAACCCTAGGAAAAGCAGATCTGAACCCTGTCCAATCCTGTGCCATCTTCACACTTCCTAAAACATGAGAGTCCATTGTGGCAGTCCACCTGATTGGAGTCTTTCCTTCGCTGACCCTCCACTTTTCCAAGCATCATGTCCCTCTCCAAGGGGACATGACAAAAGGGGAAGGAGAAAAAGGGGCAGAAAAAGGAGAAAAGGGGAAAATCACTTGAGATAGAGAGATTTGTGGGTGGAAGGAGGTGAAGTTATGGGAAATGTTCAATGAGACCTAGAAAAGATGGGGTGATAAGAGGCTTAGAGCTAGGGCAATTAATTGTATAGCATATTATGTATATGAATGATTGCATAAAACACGAAGTATATGTACAAAACACAATGTATGTGAATGTTCATTGCAAATGAATAAAATTAAAAAAAAACTATTCTGAGTGTATATTTATTCAACACTACACAAAGAATGAAAGAAAAATACAAGCGAGACACTTTTCCTGTACCTGAGTACTGACTATCTTGTGGACACAATTCTGTTGGCATGCAAATTTCATCAAATTGCCCTATAATCTGATAAATCCATTTCACAATGATACTTTTTGTTTTTCAATCTGTAAGAGCTCTCATAAACCCAACATTCTTAATTTGCAGATTGGGGATTTATGAGGTAAAACATGGTAACACAAACATTTAAATTGCCCCCACATTTTACTACCGTAACTGCTGTATTTTATATAAAGGGCACAAAATGACTAGTGCCATTGATAAAAAGTAGGTATTAAGCTGCGGACTCCTCCTTAATGAAATCAGACATGGAGCAGATTGAAAATGCAAATCTATATACTGAGAAAGGTAAGGAGAAAAATCTTCAGAAGAATTACAATGTTCACTTTTATGGGGTTAAAAATTAGCAAAGAGAAAGGACGTTGTGGGGTTTTTTAGGTGAGAAATTTTATTACCAATGCTACTTTTATAAGTAATATATTTGTTACTTGAGAGCCAGTATTATACATTAGGGAGATAATTTTTTAAAAAAATATGATTCTATTCTAGAATCTCTTTTGAAATTTTGCTTTGGTTTGTTCAAATTTCTATTTGTCATTCAATCACAGGTTTTACTTTTAAAACATTGAGGAATACACAGTTATGAAGATCAGCATTTACTTCACACACGGGCTACTTGCCATCGTCTCAATGTAGCTCTCAATCAGGAAGTCAAAATTTCTAGCTTTGCAGATTAGGAAGGGGCTTACTATACTAATTTAAACTTACTTACATCAAGTTATTGCCTCATTTCTTTACTATCCTTACTGATTAATAACAAACAGTATTAAATCCCCAAAATGGTTGAGAATATTACAGCAAAGGCAAAGCTACTATGTCAAAGATCTATTTTAAATGGGTTAATTTTTTAACAGATAAACCTGAAAGACAACATTTCTCACTAAAATGCTTTTAGCCAGCACACTTGCTTCACTCAGCACATTTCTAGATTATTCTTTTTCTCCTAATAGTGTTGATCCTCATGGCAGATGGGGAGAGTGTTACTATGATTTTCAGTTGTCCTTTTGTCAGAATGAATTCTTGACAGAGTACTTATAAATAATGTCCCAAAGCATGCAAAAGAGTGATGCTTTTATAACATACATAAGATAAAACGCTTTGTTGTGGTTGTGTACGATCAAGTCAGAACCAATCTGTAGGTGACCCTCCAATGGCTTTTCAGAGGCAGGAAATTGCTCACTATCAGGCTGCCCATTTTTCTCCGGTGTAGCAGCATGTGGATTTGAATGGCCTGTTTTTGAGCTGGCAGTGCTTCCCCCTACCCCGACCCTCACCCCCCGGGACAACACAAATTACTTTTCATTAAAAACTAAACAACATTCTATAGGAACCAGTATAAAATTTCAATTTAAACTAATCCAAACTTATCTATTTAAAATAGTGCTGTTGGGTAGTGGGTTTTATTTGTAAAATAATTGCAACATAATTTGCCATAATTGTTCTTCAGTTTGGAAGTTGAGTAAGTACCCTTAACAAATGTTCATAGATGTATTTTATATCCTATTATTAATTTTAATAATATCAGCTATGCCTCCGGAAACTCTATGAACCTTGATAAATGTTGAGAGTTGTATGGGGCTTCAGGCCTTTTGTTCATAGGGTCTCTATGAGTTGTGCTCAACTCAAAGGCAATCAACAACAATAACAACAATTAAAACAGTAATCAATTTAGTTAACCAATTTAGCTGACTTATTTATCAAGTTGAAGTGAAAGGAAGAAAAGTTAATTGAACTGATTTTGAGTATCAGCTCACATACTTTGGGCATGTTGCGAGGAGGTGCTATTCCTTTGAGAAGGACATGATGGTGGGAAGGGTGGAGGGTCAGCAAAGGAGAGGCAGACCTTTGACCAGATTATTGACACAGTGACTGCTGCAATGGGCTTTTGTGTTTCAGTAAGTGTGAGGATGTACAGGATAGAACAGAGTTCAGGTCTTTTGTTCATAGGGTCTCTTGACTCTTTGGCACCTAAAACAACAACGATATTATTTTAAAACTCCAAATACTCTGTGCTTTTCAAAAGTCCATGAACACTATTCAAATGTCCATGAACATTTTACCATTTACCTCATCATCACTGAATTAGAAAAAAATAACTAACAAATAAATAATGAACAAAATAGTTAGTATTTATTATGCATTTATTATGGTCTAGGTAGTGTTCTAAGTCCTTGTTCATTTAATAGTCACAATAGAGTGACGAAGACGATACTGGGATAGACACTTTGCTATTTAACAGAAGAGTAACAAAACATTAGATTAATAAATGCTGATGAGGCTCCTTCGTTTACAACACACTAGGAAAGCCATTTATTCTCTTAATTACAGCTTTCTTTTAGCAAAAGGATGCTCTACATGTCTTCTGTGGACAAATGCACAAACAAGCAAAAGAGTTTAAATAGGCTATTCATTGGCATTAAATATTCAGCATTCACTCATAGGTTCTTACCAGTTAATATCATTAAGTATAACTTCTTGTTAGGTTCTGTCAAGTTAGAACTGATTCAGAGTGTTTATGAATTGTCTTGGGTAAGTGGTAGAAAAGTAAGTTGCTTAACTAGCAATGCAATTTTAGGCAATATGACTAAAAAAACTAGTGGTGGTGGTGTTGTGTACTATTGAGTTGGAACCAACCTGTAACCAATCCCCTGGTGGGTTTTCAGAGGCAGTTAATTGTAGAGGAGGAGATTGCCCATCCTTCTCCCACAGAGCAGCAAGTGGCCTCGAACTACGTGTTTTTCGAAATTGTAATGCAGCTTCTTGCCACTAGGCCAAGATATTTTGAAAATATTGTATCCCTAAGACTATTTGAAGAACAGTTGTTTTGTTTGTTTTTTTTTTCCTTATTCCCATTTAGTACCCTTTTGAAAAGTAAGTCTGATGCTGGCCACATCAAAGAGACGAGATGATATTTCAGGGTCAAAGATTATTTTAATAATTAAAGCTAACCTTCCAATGATAATGAGATTTTTGAAGTAACAGTATATTCATATAGTGGCACTGATACAAATATTTTGAAAGAAGAATTTCAATATAGTAGGTATATCTCTTCGAAATCAACAGCATTTTCTCATTGGCCCCTAAAGTCGATTTTCTACTTCTGTGTTCCTAAATAAACCACAAAATGTACAATAAATTTGAAGCTTTATATATACACAAAAGGTATTCTGTGTGTTTTCTATGCAGTTAAGGTTTCTCAACTCATTGTTATTTGTTTATTTTGTGGGCAAAACCTTAAGGAGTCTTGGAAAAGATAAAGCTTTGCCTTTCTAAGAAACCGCTGCCATCTGCTACAGACCGAAAGAAGTTTGACTACGACTTTGCTGTTTCCACCTCCTTCCACGGGGTGCACAATATTGTTCACAATCGGAGCAAAATACGAAAGGCGATCTGGTTGCTGGTGGTGCTGGGCTCGGTCTCACTCGTAGTGTGGCAGATACACAGTCGCTTGGTCAACTACTTCACGTGGCCGACCACAACATCTGTGGAAGTTCAATACGTGGAGAAGATAGAGTTCCCAGCTGTGACGTTTTGCAATTTGAACAGGTAAAAACTACTCTTTTTGTAAAAATATAACCTTTCTTGACTGACTGGAAATATACTTTTAGTAGGTAATATTCAGATACAAAAAACCATTAACTCTTTTAAGTTGTATTCAAAAGCAAAAGTGTAGAGGAGAAAATAATCTATTTCATTCTATTCTTTCATGCTTTCTTCATATCGTGCGTTAGTTGCAAATTATATGCTAGATAATCTACAAAGCAAACTGAAAAATTTGATTGCCATAAAAGAGGAAAACAGACTATTTCAACACAATAAAATGATTGTTGTTGTATTGTTGCTGTGTACCACAGGGTGGGAAGTGACCCATCACTGACCCTATGGCCCGTTTTCAGAAGCAGTTAATTGCATAGGAGGAGATTGCCCATCCTTCTTTCATAGAGCAGCTGGTGGCCTTGAACCACATGCCTTCGGGATTGTAGCACAGCTTCTTGCCATGAGGCCACCGGAGCAATTAAACAGAAGTATGTGCAGGGGCTTTGAATGTACATTGGGTAGAGTGTTAAGGCTCCACTTGGCATAGTTTAGAACTCTGAGTATTATATAATGACAAACAGATTCCTAGGTAGCTTTAAAGAATACCTAGAAGAAGAAGAAGAAGAAGAAGGAACTATTCTAAAGATAAAGTAAAACATTATAGAGATATGTAAGTTTTCATGTATATAGAGTAATGAGCTCTTTAATGTGGTGTCCTTGTGGCAAGAAGATGCTCTGCAATCCCAGCTACAACAGTAAGATTTGTTGCTGGCAACCCAAAAACACAAGGTTTGTAATCTCCTCCTATGAGATTTACAACTTCTGACAACGTGCTGAAGGATCAGTTCTGAGTGTGTCCAGCTCCACAATACTTAACAACACAACAGAGGCAGGGGCAGCTTCCTGAGTGTGCAATGCAGGATCTTACACTTCAAAGAGCCCCAGCCTTAGTTTAATGCTCTGCTTTTGCTAGCTTGAAATTATTAATAGTGTTTTAGCAAGGGTCTCTGCTTCTTCATTTGACTCTGGGTCCTGCAGATTATGAAGTCAGTGCTGAGTTAAAAAAGTAATAGGTTAGTAACATAGGGAAGTTGAGGCTAGTGAGGCTAGAGAAAAGAACTAGATTAAGTGAGGGTATGTGAATTGGATAGATCAAAAGATAGATTAAGTTATGAAGATATTTTTCACACTGTGACAGAGAGATTATAAGAGCAGACACCTGAAGATCACCTCAAGGAGACTCACTTTACTTACAACACGATGAGGGGAAATTCAAATCCAAAGTGACTTTAAAGACAATGGAGTTTTTGCTAATAAGTTATTAAGTAGCACCATGAGATGCATCTAAATTGTCTCAATACATGTAAAATAGGTGAAATAATACAAAACATGTTCACCAACTACCATAGAATGAAAATTGAAACCAATAAGAAGAAAAATTGGAAACATTTAAAAATGTATGTAATTAAAAATACAATTTTAAATAACTAGCCAATTTAAAAAAAAAGATGTCACAAGGAAATAAGAAAATTCTTTGGCAGCTTAGTATAACTTATGGGATACAACTAAAGCAGTTTATAGATGAGAATTCATACCTGTGAAAAACTAGTATGTTCTAGCTAAGAAATATCTCACATGTAAATTAAGTATTCTACATTTTTGTTGTTGTTAGGTATTGTTGAGTTAGAAGTAACTTACATAACTTACCCACTACGTTGCCAGAAGGGACTAGTCCTTGGAGAAGGACATCATGCTTGGAAGTGTGGAAGGACAACACAGGAGAGGAAGACCCCAGATGAAATGGATTGAAAGAGTGAATGGGGTAATAGGGGTAGTGTGTTGCAGACTGTTCATAATTATGTCAGGAAATCAGGAGACATATTGCATTGGAAAAGTCTTCAGTTGGGGATCTCTCCAAATTATTGAGGGGTAATGATGTCAGTTTGAGGATTAAAGTGCATCTGATTCAGGCCATGGTCTTTCTGATCATTTACTATGCATCTGTGAGCTGGAAAATGAATAAGAATGACAGAATAAGAATTGATGCCTTTGAGCTGCAGTGTTCAGGAGAAGAGTACGGACCATCTCATGGATGGCCAAAAGAATAAACAAATATGACTTAGGGAGGGTGCAGTCAGAGTGCTCTCTGGAGGCAACTATGAGGCTTTGCTTCACGTACTTTGAGCATGTTGCTAGAAGGGGCTATTCCTTGGAGAGAGTTGGTGAAGGAAAGGAAAACTATTGACCAGGTGGATTACTATGGTCACTTTAACAATGGGCTCTAATGTAACAGAAAGTGTGAGGATGATACAGGATAGGATAGGGTTCAGATCTCTTGTTCAGAGGGTTGCTATGATTTGTACTAAACTCTATAGCAATAACAACAACAACAGCAACAACTGCATAGCATGTTGTGAAAACCAAAAAGTGGTCTATTTGAATCTATTAACAATGACTTTGTTTTGTGATGCTGGTGAAGATAACATGGACTGCTAAAGGAAGAAACAAATCTGTCATGGAAGTGAAGCCAGAACATTTCTTAGAAGCAAGATTGGTGATACTTTGTTCATAAAACTTGGGGAAAATTATTAGCAAGGGTGATACCTTGGAGAATGACATCATAACTTGAAAAGTAGATGGTCAGATAAGGAGAGGAAAACCTTTTATAAACAAAATGACACATTGACTGTATCACACTTAAACACAGCAAATACTGTGAGGATGGTACAAGATTAGTAGTGTTATTTTCTGTTGGAAACACTGCTTCACTATTAAGTGGGGTCTAACTTGACAGCACCTAACAACAATTACGTGTGTGTAAAGAGCTCTGATGGCATCAGTCATTAGTACTGCAGTCTCTAATACGGACTGAAGCTCAACATCAATTAAGAAAAAAATAAAAAAAATTATTCTCACCACTGGGCCAAGTGGAAGCATCATGATAACTGGAAGACTGATTGAGATTGTTAACAATTTCATCTTGCTCAGTTCCACAACCGACACCCTTGACTTGAGCAGTCAGGAAATCAGAAGAATTGTTTGGGATAAATTTGCTGTCAAGGATTTCTACAAAGAGTTGAAGAACAACTATGCCAATCTGGAGACTAGGGTGCATCTAATCCAGGCCATAGTCTTTGCAATCATTTGTTATGCATCAAAGAGTTGGAGAATGACTAAGGATAATAGAAGAAAAATTGATGCTTCTGTGTTGTGGTGCTGTAGGAGAGTCTTGAACATACCATGGACTGCTAAAAGAACAAGCAGGTCTATCTTAGAGAGGGTGAAACCAAGCTACTCTCTGTAGGCAAGGATCTTGCAGATTCATCTCACATACATTACATGTTGAGAGACTCATCCTTAGAAAAGTACATCATACTTGGAAGGGTAGAGAAACAGCACAGGAGAGGAAGACCCTAGATGAGATGGATTGATACAGTAACTGAGATAATGAGGGTAGGTATGTAAGAGACAGTGAGATTGGCTCAAGATAAGGCAGATCTCATTCATAGATCTTCTCTTAGTTATGTATTTGCCAGTCTCTTTATATTGTAAATTTCATTCCATTTTGTCTCTTATTATCTTTATGGTTGGGGCTGTACCCCTAGGTTTCTGGTACATCTTGAGTTGATATTTTTTTTTCAATTTAGCATGAGATATGGATCCTGCTTTAGCTTTCTGCAGGCACAAGTCTAGTTTCTCCAGCACCATTTGTTGAAGAGATTGTCATTTCCCTATTTGATAGGCTTTGTTTCCTTGTCAAATATCAGCTAACTAAAGAGAAATCAATTTCTGGGTTCTTGATTCTGTTCCATTGGTCCATGTGCCTGTCTTTGTACCAGTATCATGCTGTTTTGGTAATTATGGTTGTGTGGTAGGTTTGAGATCAGGACATGTTATGCCTCCCACTTCATTTCTAACACAATAACAGAAGGGGAAAATGATTTTTCACAGAGCAAGATACTCAGATGGCCAAAAAACACATGAAAAAATACTCAAAATCACTGGCAAAAAGAGACTTGAAAATAAAAACTACAATGAAATACCATCCATTCCCACTAGCAGTGCCAAAGTTTAATAGGACAGCAAAAAATAAATGTTAGAGAGGATATGGAGAGATTAGAATTTTCATACACTGTTGGTGGGATTATAAAATGGTACAACCTCTCTGGATCACAGTTTGTCATTACCTCAAAAAGCTGAACATAGAAATTCCATATGAACTAGCTATTCCATTTTTTGGAATATGTTGTTGTTGTTCTTATGTGCCGTTGAGTCGTTTGTGACTCATAGCAACCCTACGTACAAGAGCCCTAAACCCCACTCTATCCTGTGCCAATTGCATTACCTCCGACACACCCATCCCTATTACCCCAGTCACTGAATCAATCCACCTCATAGAGGGTCTTCCCCTCCTGTGCTGTCCCTCCACTCTACCCAGCATGATATCCCTCTCCGAACACCTGTATCTCCTTACAACATGTCCAAAGTATGTCAGACAAAGCCCCAGAATCCTTGCCTCCAAGGAGTAGCCTGGTTTAACCCTCTCTGGGATGAATCTGTTTGTTTTCTTGGCAGTCCATGGTACATTTAATACTCTTCTCCAGCACCACAACTCAAAGGCGTCAATTCTCCTTCTGTCCTCCCTAGTCATTGTCCAGCTCTCTGACGCATAACAAGTGGTTGCAAAGACCATGGCCTGTATCAGGCACACCTTGGTCTCCAAAGAGACACCGTTGCTCTTGAGTACTTTAGAAAATTCCCTAACAGCAGACGTTCCCATCGCGATACGCTTTTTGATTTCCTGACTACTGGTGCCAAGAGTGTTG